CCCCCCCCCCCCCCCCCCCCCCCCCGGCAGGCACGGGATGCCGAAGAGGAAGCGACGCCGAGGCTGTTCGATTTCGATGGCAGCCGGTCCAGCGGCCGCGCGGTGGTCGGCAGGGATGAGTTCTTCCAGCAGTTCAACGTGAGGAGAAAGACAGGAAAAAGCGCAAGAGCGGGGTTGTATGCGTAGTGGACAGAACGGCCGCGTGGGCTAGAGCGGTGCCAGTTTGCCGTCGCTCCCTCGACACGGAGCCTGCATGGCTTCACGAGAACATGCACGGCTAGCGTGACACTCGTTCGCTGAACGTTGTTTGAGACTCAACAGCGAGAGGTTCTCTCTCCTGTTCCAGTGTAGGACGTGGCCGGTAGGGGATTCGAACCCCGGGTGCTCTTGCACCAAAGGCGGAAGTCTCTCCGTCGACGCCGAGATGCCGAAAGAGGGAACGGATCGTTCTCGACAAACGGAGGGTGGAGAGGTTGTCCCCTACAGCCGTAGGCCCTCTGTAAGGCGGGTATGCGCCAGACCGATTCACCCGCCCTGTAGCGAGCACCCGCACCATTCAATGTAGTAACCGTCTCGAGTATTCCGTATGTGCGAGCCAGTTTCGCCCGCCCTTTTGCGCGCACTCGCCTGATATAAGGGCCTACGACTGCATCTGAAGGGGATCTCCGCGTAAGGTCTTGGTCGGCCTTCTGGGTGCGATCTTCTCCCTTTCACGGGCGGACGTCCGCGTGCTTATTAATCTACCGCTAGAGAGGGTGCCAACTCACTTCCCTCCACACCCCCTTGCTTGATGAGAGAGGGTTTCCAGGGTTGATTTGACATTTCGGTTTTATTTTAACGCCGTCTTCAATCCGTGAGTGTGCGATTCTGTTCACTTCGGTCGGTCCGGGTTGTGATGTGCGTTAACGTTGTCGCTACGTTTTTGTTTTACAGGTGTTCACGGAGGGACAGCTGACCTTCATGGACTGGAACAATGTGGTTGCTGCCGGGGGCAGCGTGTTGGCGGCGACGCACCCCCCGCCGCCGGGGCCCCTGCGGGACTTCTACCACACCCTGGCTTACCGGTACGTGTTGCCAACTGTCGTCGTCATCACTTGCTGCTATTTAGTTGTCGTTACCGTTTCCGTTTTCGTTTTTTTTGTTGGCATGTTGATTTTTGAGGGGGTGAAGCTTGGGTCGGGCGGATGGTATCGCCCCGTGACTTGTTGCGTGTGGCGCACGTCGTACATGGTTATTTTGTGCAGCTTTCATCCTTGTGGAAAAATCATGACCGTTCCGAGGACCGTTCCGAGTACCGAGTACCGCGTATCGCCCCCCCTCCCCCTTTTGGTCAATGGTCTAACAACTAAGGTATGCAAAACGTGAGTACCCCCCCCTCCTTGGCTCATCTCCCCTAGTAACGCCTCCGTGTCTCGTTGCATTTTTTTTTTTTTTTGCATGATCCTCCTCGTTTAGGTCGAGCGACGTAGACCTGTTTCTCTACGGGCTGGACGAGAAGGCGGCAACGGAGAAGGTCCGCAAGATCTTCAACGCCGTCAAGCTCGCCAACCCCAAGGTGACATGACTCGACGGTTAACGCCGCTGCTCTTACTTCGAGTGAGGCTCGCAAGAGAGTATTGGTAAATTAGGAGCAACACTCAGGACTGCATCCTTGAGAGGCTGTCGTCGTTGTTATAATATTGGTGTCCGTCGGTCTCTCACCACCTAGCAAACTTCGCACCCCTTGCCGTGTTTTCTTCACACTTGTAGTGGAATTTGGAGGCCTCGAAACAAGCAAGAGATTTGTCGCTTGACACGCCGGCCATTCCGGCTTTGTAGAACGCAGCCACTGCTGTTGTGGCGGGGTGACGTGCTTGCGCTCCTCCGGTTACGAAGCAAGTCCCCCAAGTGGTCGAAACGACCCTGCGCTCCATCGAACCCAACCTTCGCCTCCGCCTTTGCGGGGGCTGCCACCTTAGACGTCACCGGGCCTTGGCTGCTTTCAATACAAGGGACACAACATACGGCAGCGTAAACGTATAACACAACCTGCGGCGGTGTGCGCATGTGTGTATTCACCACAGGGGGGCAACAAAGTCCGACCCGCCGCCCCTTCTGCTCGTAACTCCCCCCCCCACGGTCAGGCCTTTGGCTACTTTCAATACAACGGGACACAAAATGTGACAAAGCGTGCGTACGTGTGTGTACCACTGGAGGATAGAGAACGCGAATAGGCTTAAGGGTACGAGAGGACAAGTCCGACCCCCCCCCGCCCGGTCCACCGCGTTTTTTATTTGTGTTGTTCTCAGATCTACGCGGTGCGATCCCTTCGGACGGTCACCCTTGTGAGCGAGTTCCCGTTCCGGAAGATCCAGATCGTGCTGAGGCTGTACAAGACCCTGGCGGAGGTTCTTCACGGTTTCGACGTGGACGCCTGCAGCGTCGGCTTCGACGGCCACACGGTGAGAGGAGAAAATTCATGATACAGCGGTGGAGGTCCCTATTTAGTGCCGGTTGAATAGTAGTGCCGTTACCCGGTATTGTATAGCGCCGGTGTTTTCGGCGGGCACGCACTGAGTTTTTAAGTCATGCTCAGTCAATACTTCGGTTAGTGCCGGTCCGGTATCGTGCCCGTGAATTTTCTTGGCACATACCGGCGATAAACAGGGACCTCAACTGTATTGTTGTTTTCGTGTTGGGGTAGTGGGGTTCCGTGTCTTGCCTCTGTTGTTGGTTGTGTGGTGGTGTTAGTAGTGTGTTACGTGGTGGTCGTTGTTGTTGGTGGTGGTGTCAGTGTTAAATAGTGATAGCAAATAGTGTGTTCATTGCGGTGTTGTTGATGGTGGTGGTGTTGCGGATGGTGTTGTTGGTGGTGAAAGTGTCGGCGTCATCACTCCGCAAAGGCGGCGACGTGGTGCTGTCGATAGTGCCAGTCTAGACAAAAAAAAAAGAGGAATACCTCACCGAACCGAACCTTTTTCGAAGGACGCCAACCTGCCCTGTGTACACCTATTGACCTGTGCGCAACTTTAGCTCGAACGGCGATGCTGACGATTATTCTCATCCTACACGACTCTTTCCCCCCCCCTGTTTCAACCCCCGACGACGGATGTACGCCAGGTGTGGGCCACGAACCGCGCCGCGCGGGCTATCTGCAAGCGCTACAACCTGGCGGATGTCTCTCGCCGCAGCCCTTCATACGAGAGCCGGCTGTTCAAGTACGGAAAGAGAGGGTGAGTGGCTGCTCTCATGCTTCATGATTGCACACCGCAGCAGTTACCCGGCTTGCTTATGGCGTGAGAAGGTTGGCTAGCGGGGCTCCGCGTTGCCAGCGGGTGGCGTTCTCCCATGGCACACTGGCGTTGCCCTGTACAGCTGCGCCAGCGGTGGCAAGGGGTTGAGTAGTCTTGCACCACACAACACACCCTCGGACGTGTTGTGGCTAATAACAAGCCCATTCGAGGACTCCATGGCGACCGACTAGACTTCAACTGAAGCTTTCACGCCTAAGTAGGCATTTGTCGTGTACCTGGTATTAATACTTTGTTGTTCGAGCGTTACTCGATTTAAGGAATGCAAGGGGAAACAAGGGATGTCAACAACGACGAAGGAAAACGCGTAGGAAAAGGTCACAGCCACCATTCATTGTTTTTGTGGATTGGAGGCTCCGGCTACCAGGGAACACAACCTCCAGGCCACGGCCAAGCTTGCCTTCGGAAGGTTAAGGTTGCGACTGCTGCTTTCCTGTAGGGGTTGCATGTGTGGGAGAGAAAAAGAGAAAAAGAGAAATAGAGAAAAAGAGAAAGAGAGAAAAAGAGAAAGAGAGAAAAAAAGTACACGCGGTGGGAGTCGAACCCACGAACCCGAAGGACCGGAACTTGAACCCGACGCATTTGACCACTCTGCAACACGTGTTGTTGTGACGAACGGTACACAAACTGCTCCAATACTGGTACTTTTTTTTTTGTAGAGTTGGGTTCCAGGGGTTGCTGCAGGCTGCCTGCCCCCTTCAGCGGGTCATCTGCTGCACTTTGCTTGGCGTGAGTTAAGACGGGTCACTAGGGCGCGAATAATAGCACCAGAGTATTGTAGCATCGCCGCCACCACCCCAAGTTGTCGGTTGTCACAGGCGAAAAGCAACCACCAGCAGCAGAAATATTATTGCAACATTCACCGTGACCTTTGCTGTTTACCTCCACCGCCGCCGCCACTGACAAAGTAGGGTCTTTAGAAAAAATACATACAAACATAGGAACGACTTGTACCAGTTTTTGCCTTAACAGAGATTAACAACACTAAACTCACTGATGTCACCACCAGTACCAGCACGGTAGACTTGCAACAAGAAGACGGTCGAAGTCACCTACCTACCTACCTTCTCTTGTTGGTTGTGTTGCCATGGTCTTCCTTCGTTCCTTGGGGCAGGCACTCGGTGTTGGTGAGGGGCCTGCAGGTGGACAAGATCAAGCCTTCGCTCCGCAAGGCCACCGTCACCTCCGGCTCCGTGAGCTACGAGCGGGGGCTCGCCAAGGTACAGTGCCGGCCCGCTCATGAAGGAACACCTATTTTGAGCTAGAGGGTCAAACCTTATTTCGTCTCCACCACTGAGCAAAGGCTTCGAAATACCAATTATTGTAGCGCCGGCCGCTGTGCTCGATTCCTTTAGTTTTGTCCAGAAGCTGAGCCTCGGTGTCTTGCCAACACTTTTCGCACGAGCGGGCCGGCGCTGCTGTACTACAGAAATGCCGTACGTACGCACGCCAAAGAACCTCGCGATCAAAGCGAAGGCTCACTAGTTTTAGAAGCGAAAACTGGCAGTGATCTCTCTGCGCTACAGACTCCAACACACCCAATGAGGCCTCGTGATCCCATTATTATTCTTGTTCCAAGTTTAGATCCATCCGTTCAGATCGCTTCTTTTTTTTTTACCACCAACCAAGTTTTTGGGAGCGGGCAGGGCTTGGTATTCCAGCTGTAGACGTTGTTGCTCGTTGCCTTGCAAAATTTTAGAGCGGTAGACT